GATTGCATCAGAAATTAAGCTTCCCAGAGTCATCACCCACTAGGGTGAGCTAACCTCACCCACACTCCTGTAAGCGATCCCAGTAAACTCATCGGTTCACCAGTCTAAAAGAAATCATCGTTAATGTGTGTTCAATGCTTTGAACTTTTCTAAGGGAAAAAAATCTTACATATTTTCATATCTCTAAACTTATCGCAGACCTGACTGTTACTATATCCTGTCACTCCAAAAGGCTTCCTCAAACCTTTCATAATTTCTCCTTCTATCAACAAGTCAAACCCCAAGCAATCATTAAAGGTTTATGTAACAGGAAGGGGAGAAGTGATGTAATTATATACTTTAATTTTAAAAACTGCTAATGTTTCTGCCCTGCCTACATTTTCTGTCTGTCCAGGCTATACTATCACTATTACAAGCTATTTGTATTTTTACAGTATTGAATACTGTATTAAGTATTTAATATTTAAGTAATCATATTCACTGCATTTTTAGCTTCTTTCACTTGACATAATTATTTTTAGACTCATTTGTGTCATGGTTATATCAGTAGTTTCTGCCTCTTATTGCTGAGCAGTATTCCTCTGTGGCTAGAACATTGTTTCCTCCCTTCTGACGGACACCCGAACTGTTTTCAGGCTTGGAGGCAGTACAAATGAAGCTGCTCCGGACAAATGGCATACAGGTTTGTGAGTAGCACACACATGCTTCCTTTCTCTTGGGAAAACACACGAGAGTAGAATGGGTGAGACATGTTACACTTGATGTGTTACAGTGAGACATGTTTAATTTTCAGTAATCTACCCAACTATTCTGTGAGGAATCCCATGATTCCACACTGCTACAGGCAGCAGCACGAGTTCCAGGGTGCGTGACATCGCCAGTCAGTTAGCCCAGCAGTGACCCCTATGAAGCCACGATGTGTATTCATTCACTGCTCTTTGCTGTGGGTGGGATGTGACCAGCTGCTTTGAGCTCCTGTTGTCTTGACTTCACCATCATGACGGATTAGGACCACACTTGGGCTGTGAGCTGAAATGAGCCTTTCCCCTTAAGTTACTCTGTCAGGACATCTAATCACAGAACATCTAATGTTAATATTGATCACACTGCGGTTGAAGTTGGAAGTTCTCAAGAATGATGACGTGTGCATCTTCGCTCTTCAGGTCTTCTTTAGTGAGGGTTCTGTCTAAACACTTTCCCCATTTAAACTGGGTTATCTTCTTATGCATCAAGGCCTTTCTCAGACAAACAATTCACAAGTGATTTCAGTCTGTAACTCAGATTTCCACAAACACTGTGTTTTGAAAACACAAACTTTAAGGTGGGGAAGATGGCTCAGTTGGTACCAGCTTGAGGACCTGTAATTGGGTTCCCTGCACCCACGTAAAAAGCCAGGAACAGCAGCTCATGACTACAAGTCTCATCTCCAGGAAGGATATATAGGAAGATCCCTAGGGTTTGAGGGCCAGCCAGTCTAGCCAAAACAGCAAGCTATCAGCTCAACCAGAGAGGCCATCTCAAAAACTGAGGTAGAAAGTGACTGAGGGAGACATTCATTGTTGACCTTTGGCCTCCACATATATATATATATATACATGAAAATATAATTAAAGGTCAAAATTTTGAATTTTTTAAATGTATTTATTTTGTATATGTAGGTGTGTGCCCACTGTGGAGGCCAGAAGAAAGTTACAGATCCCCTTGTCACTGGAGTCACAGACAGTTGTGAGCCGCCCGATGTGCATGCTGGGAACCAAATCTAGGTCCTCTGCAAGAGCAGCCAAGTGCTCTTCATGGCTGAGCCATCTCTCCAGCCCCCAAATTTTTAATTTTGACAAAGTCAAATTCTTTTCCTAAATCAAGACTATTATGGCCTGTTTAAGATAATTTTTCTTGATGTGTTGGCACACACCTATAATCCCCATACTCGAGAGGCTTTCCGTAATCATGAGATTGCCCTGAATTGTGTAGTAAATTCAAGGCCACCCTTGGCTACACAGAAAATCTGAAGCTAGTCTGGGTTATATAACACCCTATATCAAATAGAAGAAAAAAATTTTTATGCCAAATCCAAGCTTAGTAACATAACCTCATATGTTTTCTTCCTGAAGTTTATAGTTCTAGCTTTTCAGTTTCAGTTTGCGTGCTATTTTGAGGTTTTTGTTGTATGTGAAGGCAGAAGCTCGTTTCCCACCCCTCCCGGCCACCATCCACATATGACATACTTCACTCTAGGCCGTCTTCAGAAAGGACTATTCCTGGCCATACTGAACTGTTTGGACGACTTACTGAAAATAAGTTTGCCATAATGTGTAGGTCTGTTTCAGATGATCCACTCTGCCCTACTGAGTCTGGCTTTTCACCAATACCATACTCGTTTAAAGTCAGGTAGAATAAAACAAATCTGTGTTAAAAGACTCTAAACCCAAAAGGTTTCTGTATGGACTTTGAAATCTGCTTATCAGTTTCTAACTAAGAACTTAACATCATTCTGATCACTAGGAAGCCACAGTCACCATGTGGAAAGAACTGACACCTTGATACTAATTTTCCTGGGTAGTGGTGGCTCATGCCTTTAATTCTAACACTTGGGAGGCAGAGGCAGGTGGATTTCTGTCTGCTCAAGTCCAGCCTGGTATACAGAGAGTGTTCCAGACAGCCAGGGAAACAGAGAGAAACCCTGTCTCAAAAAACAAGAACAAAATCCATTAAACTTCATGACCACACACATGAACAAAGTGTGTCTGCCTAGTTTCTACATGTGTGACCTTTGGTTTCCCTCCAGTTTTACAGTTTCAGTGTACAATCTACCTCATTTGGTATCTTTTGTCTCTCACGTTTATAAACACTTCATTTTTGTTGTTGTTGTTCTAGAAACTTTTCACTGAATACTTGGCATAACTCTCAAATAAAACCATCTGTGGCTGTAATTCTCCTGAAGGGAAACTTTGCAACTACAAATTCAACTTCTATGCCGACACGGGCACTTTCAGATTAAGGGATTTGGCATTTTATATCTTTGAAATAATATCCCATTTCCTCAGAAGTGCTGTGTGCTGGCTTTAACTTAGCTAGCACACTCCTCCGCTCTCGAGCCCTGCTGAGTCACCCTCGTTTCTGCTGTCAGTGCTTCTCTTCCTTCTCTTCCTTCTTCCTCAGCCTCACTAGCGATGTACCAGCTTAGTAGTTTTCTCCAGAAAAGAGTTTTGGTCTTCACTGATTTTTCTCTATTATTTTTCATATTTTCACGAACTTCTGCTGAGTATAATCTTATATTTTTTTTATTTGCTTCACTGACCTCCCCTTTGTTCTAAAGGCATTCAGTGCCTTTGAATATTATTTTTGCCCCATCCCACAAAGTATGGAATGGTAGAAGGAGAAAACTAATTCCCACAGACTGTCTTCTGTGTGACAGTCATATGACCACATATGCACCTCCATTAATATAACAACAAAAATAAATTTATAAAAAGAATAAACATTACATTCATTCACTCAGTGGTTCTTAACCTGGGAGTTGCGACCTCTTCAAGGGTGTCATATACCAGATATCCTGCATATCAGATATTTATATTATGATTTATAACAGTAGCAAAACTACAAAAACGAAGTAACAATGAAATAATTTTATGGTTGGAGGCCACCACAACACAAAGAACTGTATTAACGGGGTTGTGGCATTATGAAGGGTGAGAACTGCTGCATTGGATAATATATATGCTGACATATGGCTTTGAATATTCTCCTTGATAACAGAGTACCTTTGAGACCCTAATTTTGACTTTACTTACCTCTTGTGAATATACATGTTTTTAGTGTGAGGTTATGGACTGCCTGCTAAAACTGTGTGTGTGTGTGTGTGTGTGTGTGTGTGTGTGTGTGTGTGTGTGTGTGTATAAAAGTTCTAAATCAGGTCTGTGGTGAATTTGATTCTCGGCTAATAACACCTTTTTAAAAGAGAGCTTTCAAGGTTATCACCTTACCTATTATTACAAGTTTGAGAATCATAACCATAAAGATCCAAATAATAAGCAAGAATTAAGTAAGATTCTGGTTTCAGGCCATCAGGAATGACTAAGCAGAAGACAGTGCAGAGGAAGAATCAAACCTTCTGCCACAGCCAGTGGGAAGACCCACTACTCTGAATGAGACAAGTCCGCACATAGGGATGGGAAAGAGAGATGGTATAGTTACTGGCATCGCTCCCTTTTAGGAAAAGTCTCTTTTAAACAATCCAGACAGAGTTAACTAGTTACAGTTATATTAAAAATATGCACTAACTACATTTAGCTCTAGCTGAGTGCTGCTTTTGCTCACTCACTGACTTATTTACTCTGTACACCAAGCACTGAGTGGGAAGACACATGGTAAGTCTCCCTCAGTAAGCTCCCAGGCCATGAAGGGCCGCTCCTGTATATGGCTCTGGAGCCACGCAGTCTCTAATGCCAACTAAACACCTGTGTTCCAGGGCAGAAACAGTTGTAATGATCCATAGCAAATGAGTATGGCCATCGGAAAAACTTTATCTACAAATCCAATGGTGGCCAAATATGCTCCGACAGGCTGTCTTTCCTGTTCCCTTCTCTAGTGGAAACGATATGACGTTAATTTATACAACAGATGCAAAGGTGGCAAAGGGCACATAGAAACATGATCTTAGAAAACCAACAAAAGTAGGGCATGAAGGACATGCCTTCAATCCCAACACTCAGGAAGCAGAGGCCAGCCTGGTCTACAGAGTGAGTTCCAGGACAACCAGGGCTACACAGAGAGAAACTGTCTCTACACAACAGATCAACAAAGCAAGTCTCAAGAGCTTACTGTCTTAAAGTCGGCAATTACAAGTAATAGTTTTCAAAATGTGCTGCTATTACAAGATAACTCAAAATCTCATTCTGAAAAGGTTGAACGTACCTGACTATAAAATGAATGCTTTATTATATAATATTCTCTCATAAATGTTTAACGAACATTACTCAGTGAACACTTTAGAAGCTTACCTTGAGTGACTGTTTTAAGGACAATAAGGGTTGATAAAAACCTCAGTGACAAGTTGGAGCTCTTGAAGAACGCTGCTGTCTTTGGTTTGTTCTCCACAGAATGCTCGACAGAATTATCCTGAGTTCCTTTAATTGTCACTCCTTTAAATATGTCTTCACCCAGTCTCCTCAATGTTGAGGTCATAGCTGAATGCTGTTAAATATATACACAATCATCTTTTTTAAAAAATACTTGACCAAATGTAAGCATTAAAGCAAATATTTATAAAAACAAACTTGAAAATATGCAAAATTAGAATTAAAACTATATAATTAAATTTTAAAAACCAAGTATGGACTTCTTTTCTTGAAATGGTTTCCTAAGAAACTAAAATCAGGTTAAATCTGGCATAGAGAAATATCAAAAGAAGAGAGCTGGACTCTGAGTTCACCGCTTTCCCTGCTGGAAGCCAGGCCAACCCAGGGTTTTCTCAGAGGCCCTGATGAAAAGATGAAGTCGGCAGGAAGCTCACCATGCAATGCTGCCTGCACGAAGGGAACACAGGGTATCTCAAGTGCAGCACAGATGGAGCACACAGTGGCCTGGAGAAAAGCCAGGTTCCCAGGAACCAAGGCCCTGCTTCAGCCCCAGACCAGACCTCGCCAAGACTGCCCCTGGGCAAGGATGCAGAAGTACTTGCTTCTTCATGTTTTCAGCTCAGTCTCACTGTAACTACCCCCAAGAAGAAAATATTGGGTCAGGATCATGGAAAAGTCCCACAGAATAAACTTTGATAAGAAAATGGACAAAACAGAAATAATGGTACAGAATAAAGTATTTCTATGTGGGATCTGATGTCTTCCACAGACTTTTTATGACTCGAACAAAAGGAAATCATTTCAAACTACTGAAAAGGAGAATGCTTAAGCAAGACCTAGAAATAACTTAAAAGTTTCTGTATTGGGACCTAATTCTTCCAGCCCTTCTCATTGATTTTCATAATGATTTTCCACATTCTTCATGAGGATTTGTAAATTGATTCCAAGCTTAGCACCAATAATGCAATATGGATAACACATTTGTACACGCAAAACTAGAAACAGATATTCTGCGATTTGGGGTATCAAATGATTGGGCAGTGCAATCAGATTTAAATGTATTGTAAATAAGATTTTAGTATTCCTGAGGAAAAGTATGTATTTTTAATAGCATGTGGAATGTTTCTATTTCCAAGTCTAAAATAATGAAAACTTGCATTATTCAAAATATTTTGAAAGCTGAGCAGTGGTGGCACATCCTTTGATCCCAACACTCAGAAGGCAGAGGCAGGTGCAGCTCTGTGAGTTCAAGGCCAGACAGCCAGAGTTGTTATACAGAGAAACCCTGTCTCCAAAAAAAAATAATAATAAGCAAAGTAAAATTACATAATGAAAACAGGGCCCCTATACCAAGAAGGCACAATAATCCTTAAAGTATATCCGTCAACCAATAAAGTTATAAAATATGAAACAGGCTGGAGAGGTATCCTGGCTGTTAAGATGTTAAGAGCAATGCCTGCTCTTGTACAGAACCCAGGTTTGGTTTCCAGCACCACATGGCAGCTCACAGCTGTCTCTAACTCCAGCTCCAGGGAGTCAGATTCCCTCTTCTGATCTCCATAGGCACTGCATGTAAGTAGGACATATGCACATCACACACAAAAACTTTTAAGTTAATTCTTCAATATGAGACAAAACCAGATGATAAGAGAGAAACACAATGTACAAGCTATAACATAACTTCAACACACTATCTTCAACTATTGATAGTAGAACTAGACTAAGCATCAGTGAGGACATACAACTTATAAAAACCAACAATTAACATGTATAAAACACCCCACTCACCTTCCTTAATTCCTCCCTTCCTCCTCAGGGCCATAAAATCACCCAGCTCAGCGAGCTTGCATGCTGGGACTAGGCTAGAAGTGCAACCCGACAGGAGGGAGGGAGTTCCTGTGTTTCAATAGCCTGCCAGTGAAAAAGTAGGCCCTGTGTCAGCTCAGCAAGAATCCTGGAAAAGCAAGGGGCATGATCCTCTAGCAGAACATTCATCATTGGGGTGAGTTTGCTCCTGACCCACGGCAGAAGCCCGGCAAAGAGAAGCTCAGACATTCCCCGTCCCCCTTGACTCCCTGGTCACTCTGCAGGGGCTAAGCCCTCTCACCTCCTAGACCATCCCACCTTTCACCCAGGAACCCCTTCCTTTATTCCTCCCTTTCTCCTCGGGGCCATAAAATCACCCAGCTCTGCCAGCTTGCAGGCTGGGACTGGGCTGGAAGTGCAACCTGGCAGGAGGGAGTTCCTGTGTTTCAATAGCCTGCCAGTGGAAAGGGAGGCCCTGTGTCAGCTCAGCAAGATTCCTGGCCAGCAAGGGGCGCTGATCTTCTAGGAGAAGATTCATCAGAGGGGGGAACCTGACCCGGTACCAGAAGATCCATTAGAGAACATTTGAAGGAAGAGATGGGCAGACGCCAAGGCAGGAATTCCTCCAACAATCTGAAAAACAACATGAAAACACCAGATCCCAGCGACCCTACAACAGAGGGACTTGAAGAATCCAGAAGAAGTGGAAAAAAGTGCCATTATGAAAGCAATAGAGTCCCTTAAACAGGATATGAATAACTCCCTTAAAGAAATGGATGAGAAGTATAACAAAAAGTTTGAAGAAATGAGTAAAGAAATGGATGAGAAGTGTAACAAAAAGTTTGAAGAAATTAGTAAATCCATAAATGATACCCTGGGAAACCAAGAAAAAACAATCAAAAACAGGTAATGGAAACAGTTCAAGAAATGAAAACTGAAATGGAGGCAATGAAGAAAACACAAACCGAGGGCCGGCGAGATATGGAATATCTAGGTAAACGAACAGAGACTACAGAATCAAGCATAACCAATAGAATACAAGAGATAGAAGAAAGAATATCAGATTCTGAAGACCCCATAGAGAAAATAAATGCTCTGATCAAAGAAAACAGCAAATCCAACAAATTCTCATTACAAAACATTCAAGAAATCTGGGACATAAAAAAAAGACCAAACCTAAGAATAATAGGAGTAAAAGAAGGAGAAGAATTGTGGATCAAATGCCCAGAAAATATATTCAACAAAATTATAGAAGAAAACTTTCCCAACCTAAAGAATGATATTCCTATGAAGGTTCAAGAAGCATACAGAACACCGAATGGACTGGATCAAAAAAAATCATCCCCTCGCCATATAATAATCAAAACACAAAACATACAGATTAAAAAAAGAATATTAAGAACTGCAAAGGAAAAAGGTCAAGTAACATATAAAGGTAAACCTACCAGACTTACACTGGTCGTCTCTATGGAAACCATAAAAGCCAGAAGGTCCTGGATAGAGGTACTGCAGAAACTAAGAGACAATGGATGCAAGCCCAGACTACTATACTCAGCCAAGCTATCGTTCACTATCAATGGAGAAAACAAAATATCAGGATAAAAACAAATTTAAACAATACGTAGCCACAAATCCAGCCTTACAGAAAGTAATAGAAGGAAAATTGCAACCCAAGGAATCTAACATTGCCAACACTGCCTACAATAACTCAGACATCTAGCAACCCTTCACAAGCACAACTCAAAGAAGGAAAACACACAAACTCTACTACACAGAAATAAATAAATAAATAAACAAATAAATAAATAAATAAATAACCAGAGTTAACAACTACTGCTCATTAATATCACTTAATATCAACGGACTCAACTCACCTATAAAAAGGCACAGACTAAGAGATAGGATATGAAAACAGGATCCAACATTCTGCTGTTTACAAGAAACACACCTCAACCACAAAGACAGACATCTACTCAGAGTAAAGGGTTGGGAAAAGGTTTTTCAAGCAAATGGACCTAAGAAACAAGCGGGTATGGCCATTCTAATTTCCAACAAAATTGACTTCAAACTAAAATCAATCAGAAGAGATGGAGACGGACATTTTATACTCATAACAGGAACAATTCATCAGGAGGAAGTCTCAATCCTGAATATCTATGCCCCTAATATAAGCACCCACTTATGTAAAAGAAAAACTTCTAGAACTCAAGGCAGTCATCGAACCACACACACTAATAGTAGGAGACTTCAACACACCTCTCTCACCAATGGACAGGTCAAGCAGACAGAAACCTAACAGAGAATTAAGAGAATTACTAGAGGTAATGAATCAAATGGACTTAACAGATAACTATAGAACATTCCACCCAAATAGGAAAGAATATACCTTCTTCTCTGCAGCTAATGGAAGCTTCTCGAAAATTGACCACATACTTGGTAACAAAACAAACTTCCAGAGATACAAAAAAATATTAGTAACCACCTGTGTCTTCTCAGATCACCATGGAATAAAGTTAGAATTCAACAACAATTCTAACCCCAGAAAGCCTACAAACTCATGGAAGCTGAACAGTCAACTACTGAATCACCCCTGGGCCAAGAAAGAAATAAAGAAAGATTAAAGTCTTCCTTGAATTTAATGAAAATAAAGACACAACATACTCAAACCTATGGGACACAATGAAAGCAGTGCTAAGAGGAAAGTTCATAGCACTAAGTGCCCAATTAAAGAAAACGGAGAAAGCACACATTGGAGACTTAACAGCACACCTGAAAGCTCTGGAAAAAAAAAAAGCAGACTCACCCAGGAGGAGTAGAAGACTGGAAATAATCAAACTGAGGGCTGAAATCAACAAAATAGAAACACAGAAAACAATCCAAAGAATCAATGAAACAAAAAGCTGGTTCTTGGAGAAAAATCAACAAGATTGACAAACCCCTAGCCAAACTAATCAAACAGCAGAGAGAGAACACACAAATTAATAAGATCAGAAATGAAAAGGGGGACATAATCGCAGACACAGAGGAAATTCAGAGAATCATTAGCTCTTACTACAAAAGCCTATATGCTACAAAATTGGAAAATGTACAAGAAATGGACTTGTTTTTAGATAAGTACCATTTACCAAAGTTAAATCAAGACCAGGTGAACAATCTAAATAGACCTGTTAGTAGCAAAGAAATAAAAGCTGTTATCAAAATCCTCCCTACCAAAAAAAGCCCAGGACCAGATGGTTTCAATGCAGAATTCTACCAGAACTTCCAAGAAGAGATAATACCTATACTTCTTAATGTATTTCACAATATAGA